AATGAATTGTGAAAGAGACAATTCTATGTGTCTTTACTTTAAATTTAAAAATAATTGTAAAAGTTGTAAATTTTAATAATTTTATTATAAATCTTTTTTTTTTTTTTTATAAATGGATAGGAAAACCATGACAAATATATAAAACAGACCATTGATCCATAATAACTGAAAAATTAACAAAACCTAATATAATGTGCTGTATAATTTTACAGTAATAATACATATCTCTAATATTATAACTCTAAATGGAACCTTAGTGGGGTGAAAGAGAAAGAGAGTAGAGAGAGATAGAGAGAGGAGTGGAAGCCCCACCTTCACATGACCACTCTTCACATCATTAGAACTGTATTAAAACTTTCAAATTAAAACTCTCAAACATTATTCATAGAATAGTGGGACCCACCCCTAGAATTCCTTTAGAACTCATATTTTATAGCTCTAAAATATTTTTATAAAATCTATAACTTTAACACAAAATACTTTAATTTAATATATCATAAATGATACATTTCTTAATTTTAAAACTCTAAACAAAACTCTAATAACTTGATAATGAAACAAAAAAAATAAAATAAAAGACACACCACATTACTATTGAACACACACACCATTAAAACTCTCTAGATTCCTCTAGAGCACTCTATCCGTTTTTCTCAATATATTAATCACTGTATTTGGTTTGAGTTTTCTAGATAAAGTTTTTTAAAAATTGAATTTTTTAATTTTCGTGTTTTTTTTGTTTTTAGTGAATGTTTTTAAAATTTTAAATATTTTTTTTACTTTTTTAGATGCACCTTATTTAGATGTGTCTAAAAAGTAAAAAAATTATGAAAAAATATTTTAAAAAATTAAGAAATACATAAAAATACAAAAAATGTACTAAATTCTTGTATTTTTTTTTATATTTTTGGTATTTAGTAAATTTTTTAAAAATTTTTTTTATAATTTTTTACTTTTTAGGTGTATTTATGTTAGGTGTGTCTAAAAATTAAAAAAATTTACATAAAATATTAAAAATATTTAATAAAAATAAAAAAATATGAAAAATAAGAGTATAAAAGTTTTTAAAAATTACTTTTAAAAAATAGGAACCAAGCAAGGTGAGATGTTTTGTCTGTATATCACTGATCAGTGTAGAAAATGGCAGGTCTGTGCGTGTTCAAGTTGGAATCTTTCCATTTAAGGACAAAATGCTTTGCTGTTCATCTGAGTCAGCATGAAAAGCGACTGGTGTGAGTGCTACAGGTACATGTTTGTCATCTATCTATATATTATTATAAAATGTTATGGTGTTTTGAAACTTTTGTTTCTTATGTTACCACGTGTTTATTTATTTATTTTTTTTAAAAATTATATCTATCTCTATCTATCTATCTATCTATACTATTGGCCCCGTTTGGTGTAACTGTTAAAATAACTTATAGATTATAGCTTAACAGATTATAGATTATGACTTTAATCAGAAGTTATTAATCTGTTTGGTGTAGCTGTTAGATTATAGATTTAAGTTGCTGAAAAAAATTAACTAAAAAAATCAATGCGAAAGGAACCCTTAATAACTTACTAAAATAGACGTACATATCAATAAATGAGGCTTTTAACTATGAAGGACAAAAAAGATAGATATGTTAAATTTACGTTACCACCATTAAGAGCCAGTGGATAGAGAGGAAAAGAGAAGGGTAAAATTGACTTTTCAACAAAGCATAGATACAATACACATGTGATTGACGCTTTACATATTGTATGCATATATTATAACATCTATCTATCTACACTATTATAAAGTAAACACTTCTTATGGTGTTATGAAACTTTTGTTTCTTATGTTGCCATGTGTCTACTTTTTTGTTTAAAATTTTTTAAAAAAAATTAGATAGATGAGGGGAAGGGATTTGAACCTTAGACTTATATATCAAATGAATAAGACTCTTACCACTTAACTAGCTCACAATATATGATAAATGTTTTATTTTATTTTTATTTATTTAAATTACACACGCATCGCGTGTACCAACCGCTAGTACTATTATAAAGTGAACATCTCTTATGGTGTCTTGAAACCTTTGTTTCTTATGCTGCCACGTGTCTAACTTTTTTATTTGAAATAAAAAAAAAATTAGATAGATGAGAGGAGGAGATTTGAACATTTGACTTATGTCAAATAAATAAGACTATTACCACTTAATTAGCACACAATATATAATAAATATTTTATTTTATTTATATTTATTTGAATGCAACTACTAGTATAAAATAAATGTAGGCAATAAGTACAAAATTCTTTGGTATTTATCTTTCTAATAATGATTGGGACTTCCTTTTTATAGAAACCTCACAACCTTTTTGAATCTTAACAATTGATGGTTTGAATTTCACATATATATAAATAAATCTCACATATATTGAGATCTAAAGAAATTGTAAGAGTTTTCAAAAAAAAAAAAAACAAAAAAAGACCCTGAGCATTTTTCTCATCTTACTTGAATTATGTCTAAAGGACAAAATTCTGTCCTATTTATCTCATGAAATGTAAATTCACTTGCTTCAATTATTATGCCTGGTTAGTGAAGGCAAGAAAATAAAATAGTTTTACTTAATAGATTAGTTATACTCATTCTATATGTTTCTACTGTTATTATACAATATACATTTTCGATTATCCATATTATATTATACTGTGAATAACTCATTTGATTTAGACAAAAGTATATAACATATTTTACTTACTGAAATTACTCTTACTTAATCCGCAACCACAAACCTGGAGTTATCATTCTAATGGAAACAAAAATTCCCTTCAGTTCTACGGGAAACTTTTTCAATAACTTAGGATATACTACTGCTACAATCCTGGACCCAGTGAGAAGAGCTGGAGGAATATGGATGCTTTGGGACACTGATCAAATTAATGTTCTAGCATCAATCATCAGTAACCAAGTTATTCAAGCCACAATACATAAAAAATACTACGAAGAATGGGTACTCTTAGCACTACAACATATAAGACTTTTAGCGACCAATTGTTTTTGTTCCTAAAACCATTACTTTAGTCTCTAAATACTTTTTGTGACAAAATTATATTCGTCACCAAAAACGTCAATAAAAGTGCGTCCAGGAAAGTTATTAGCGACTGATTTTCAAAAACGTCGCTAAACATGACAATTGGCAACCAATTTTACACTGCCACAAAATGTTTAATTTTGCAAAACTAAAACACTTCGTCGCTAATACTTCGTCACAAAATGTCCCTCTTTGGTCACAAAATACAAAATAGTGACATTTTTAACAACAATTATTTTTGGTCGCTAAAGGATAAATGACTCTCTACCATATATTTTCGTCACTAAAAGTCAGTTTAAAAACATTTTATAACCATTTAATTTGATAGCTAAAAATTCACAAAAATTAAATTTATCATCCAACCATAAAATTATAAAAATAAAAAGAAAAAAAAATTGACATTCACACATCAAAGCATTCTATTCCCAAACTACAATGAGTACATAAAAAGTAAAATTTTACAAAAATTTAAACGAACAAAATTACTGAAATATTACTAAACAAGATGACAGCTACCTCAATTATAGTATGTAAAATCTCTTTCAGAATCTTCGGTTACTGTTTATGTTGGCACTCTAACCAGCAGTCATCAGGAGAGAAGAAAACAATATCGATAAGAACTACAAAACTCTGCACGGATTCAGTGCAACGGGCTTATCTAATACAAACTACTTAAGAAAATATCATTCGGTGTTTGTAGACTTCAACCTTGTGGTCAGCAAAAACAATATAACAAAGATGAAGGTTAGTGCCATCTCATAGAAACACATTGAAGGGGAAAAAAATTAATTGAAGAATATGTGGCCGTCGTCACGTCGTCACGTACAAGAACATTTTCTGGTTTAAGGTCGCAGTACACAACTCCCAACATGTGCAGATACTCGAGTGCCAAAAGAACTTCTGCAGCATAGAACCTGGTTACATGAGGAAAGACAATAATTATGACCCTTGTTCACCGGAAAATATTAATACAAATAAAATAAGAATTACAAAAACAATATAGTAACACTGGGAAGACGGTCTTCATTTTTTTCAGAAGCTTCCTTTGTCATTAAGTTGTTTGCTTCTTGAAATCCATAGCCCAACAATTTATAACTTCTAACAGCCACAAAATGCACACATTAAATCACACGATTTCCTAAAACATATGTAATGGTTATCAAGAAGCGCATCTCTTTGGTCCAAAAAGTTCGATTTCATCATGCAAATACAATAATGCACAGCTCCTAAACTACAGCTCGCAAGGCTTAAAACAAAAACATGAAATAACATAATATGCATGTTTTACAAATTGAGAAAAGCATAGTAATTGTCATCTTGGGTTCTATCAACCAATTAGTTTTTCATATACTGAACAGGAAAACAGATACAGCTAGGATACAGCCAGATACCTTATGGACAAGTTCAGGATACTTCTATAAAATCTTTTATTTAAAATTCTAAAAACAGAGGCAACAGCACAAATAAGTCAAATTACGTGCACCTCGAATGATTCCAGAAGACCAATCCCACCACCAACTTGCGAGGGCCCCATTTAAAGCCAAGGCAATGCCCTATATGGACATGGCCCCATGGAGCTTATTGCTATTAGTGGATATTGAATCTGAGACTTGGAGGGGGCACACTCCTAGACGTCAAGTTATACCCACTAGGCCAAACCCTTGAGGTTTACATGCTTATTTCTACACCATATGTAACTCAAACTTCTAATTAACATGCATAAGACAGATCTCTTATGCATGCTGTTTGGGGTGAGCAAAAGACCTACGATTCCACTCACCCAAATAACATGCATAAGACAAATTTTGTCATTCTCTTCTTCGCGCTAACCTCATCCCAGCTTTGGTCACCTCCACAAGAGAATGTCCATTTCATCCTAAACCAACAAATTTCTTCATTATCTTCTCCACTCTAAACTAAAATTTCCTTAGAGGATATCATGAAAAGAATGCAATAAGATTTGCTAAATACTTCACGAATTTAGCAAAAATAAAAGAAAAACCATTGACAGGATAACAAATTACAACAAAACAACCCAAAGGCATAGGGTATTTGGAAGAAAAAGAAAAAAACCTTTTTGTATAAGTCCATGACGTTGGACTCTTCAAATGGCAGAAAGCCTGCCAATAGTACAAAAACTATTACACCGCACGACCATAGATCTGCTTTAGCTCCATCGTAGCCTTTATTCTTAATCACCTAGACAAGTAAACAACCAAAGTGATGAGGATAATAAGTGTGGTTAGGAAGAGATAGATATGTTAAATTGCATTAAACACTATACCATACTTCAGGAGCAACATAATTTGGTTTTCCACAGGTTCTGTGCAGTAACCCATCTCCCTGAATGAAGAGTTCAGAAACTCAGTTTTAAACATGTGTAATGGTCGCCACACTATCATCAAGAGTTTAAACAATGCAATACTGTACGTATAGATAAAATAAATGAAGCGTTGCCCCCTGAAACTTTGACACAATTTTTACTACGAGGATGCAGATCATTTTTTTTTTTCCGATGAGTAGGATGCAGATGAGAAGTACTAGACAGGAAGCTGTCACATATTGCTGAGGTAGAGCGCTTAATCCAAAATCTGAAACTTTGAGGACTCCATTTGCAGAAATTAAAACCAAAAGTCAGTGATTTTCTCACCTTCAGATCCCTATGAAAGACACCTCTGCTGTGGCAGTATTCCACCACATTTATGAGCTGCTGAAAATACTTCCTTGCTTCATCTTGTTTCAACCTCCCTTTACTAGACTGCCTCAAAAAAACCGTACAAAATCCAACATGGTCACTAATTGTATGGAACAAGATTTTCATGAGAATCAATGCATTAAATCAGAAGCAATCAAAGCCTTACAATTTTGTCAAAAAGTTCGCCATGAGTCTCTAGCTGCAAAGTTGCACGTAATAGTTTAGCCACAAGGCATTGATGCGATGTATAAATTAATGAAATCATGAATAGTTGCAAATTTGAAGCAATAGAAAATCACATTAAATTTAAGAAGCAAACTACAGAAATTATATTTGCTTTAGAGTCGAAAATACACATGGAGGAGTGTATACCTTCGTTAGAATGATGTCAAGAAGCTCCATCTTTGCTTTAGAGTCGAAAATCTTAGTTTGATGACTGGAATTTATTCGATAAAAACAACGAAATCAGATTATTTTTTTTATACATAAATTGAGAGTAAAATTAATGAAAATGCAATATATTAATGAAAAAACAGAAAAAGTTAGATCATATACTTGAGATGCCATCTCGAAGGTCTGAATTGGTCGTTTACGGAGGGATTCAAGATACACAAATAAAACCAAACACCGATTCATCGAGGTTTACGGAAGAAGATGGAGTCAGATGCAAAAATCGAGACCCCGCTAATCTCCCTGCACCGATTCATCTTCTCTTCCAGTTCACAGATCCAAACACCTGCACACTAAAAAAATTCTGCCATATATATATATATACATTACACACACACAGAGAGAGAGAGAGAGAGAGAGAGAGAGAGAGAGAGAGAGACCTGAGCAAGAAGGGGTGCTGGTGTGGAAACGAAGAGGGAGAGAGGATAGATCTGCGTTGGAGTATGAGATCGATCATGAAGATGAGATCCATCATGAAAATGAGATCGATTGAAGCTGAAGATCTTAGATCTCCATTAGAGTCTTAGACAGAGCCCTAGACAGAGAGAAGAGAGAACAGATCGAGAGCATGCATTTGACAAATTAGGGCGTGAGGATGAGATTTTATTTGCCTATTATTGAGACGACCTAAATTTGGTCTCTAAAAGTCAACACACATTGGTAACCAAATATATTGGTTCCCAGTTCTTAACCATATCAATCAAGCGCGGATCAACTGGTCAAATACGGTATATATCCATCTCATAGAAGTAATATGGAGGGTTTGTATGGCTTTTTTTAAAAAAATTCATTTTTGTCCCTAAATGATGACTTTTAGAGACCAAATTTAATTGGTCTCTAAATATTAGTCTCTAAATCACTAATTTCTTGTAGTGTAGCAATGTATGCTAGCTCGAATCCTTCATCCAAAGAAGACTTATGGGACAACCTTAAAGATACGGCAAGTACCATGGATAAACCATGGTTAGTAGCTGGGGATTTTAATGACTTTGTTAGCCAAGATGAAAGATGGAGTTTTACCCCAAACCACAACAATAGATCTCAAAATTTTCAAAACAAATTAATAATTGCAATCTCATGGATCTAGGGAGTGTGGGACCTAGACTCACTTGGACCAACAATAGACAAGGGCTAGCAAATACCATAGAAAGACTCGACAGAGCCATGAGCAATGACAAATGGAGGGCCCTTTTCCCCGAAGGAACAGTGAGGATTTTACCAAGAACCTACTCAGACCATTCTCCACTAGTTGTTTTCTCTCAAGGTATGCATCCACTCAACCCCCTAAACAGACATTTTAGATTTGAAATAGCTTGGCTATGTCATCCCAACTTTATTGATGTTGTTAAAAAATCTTGGTGGAATATGGATCATAACCTTATTAATGTGATTAATGGAATAAAGAAACCTTTGGGAACATTTTTAAAAGAAAGAGAACTTTACTCACCCACATTGAAGGAATTCAAAAATCCCAAGCCCAATCTTATTCCCATAACCTTTTCTTACTTGAGAAAGACCTCATAACTCAATATAATGTAGCCCCTTTTCAAGAAGAACTGCTTTGGTTTCAAAAATCTAGAGTGAAGTGGCTTACTTCGGGTGATAGAAACACTAGATTCTTTCATATTTCCACCCTTAACAAACACAAGAAATTAAAAATCAATGTTCTAAAAGATGAGGGAGGTAATTGGATATCCAACACTGATAATCTTAAAACTGATATCATTGACCATTTCACTAACATATTCAAGCATGAAGAAACACTTAGCCTGGGATTGGAATAATATTGCAAAAGTTACCTTCACGAGAGAAGACAATAATAGAATTAGAACCCCTATTAGCAACCTTGAGATTTGGAATTATAGCGACCCCGGTCTTTTCCCATTTGACTATTGTGTCCGGACATAGGTTCCGTAGATTCTGTCATTGTATAATGGTTGTTGTTGTCCCTTATTTTCTCATTTGGAATTATAGGATGTGTTGGGCAGGTTTGTTTCAGGTTGGTTGGGTTTAGAAATCAAGTGTTGTTGTCCAGTATTTTGGATCTTCGCTCGAGCGAGGAGTTTGTCGCTCGAGCGAGTTGTTGTTTTTGGTTCTTCGCTCGAGCAGGGGTTTGGTTGCTCGAGCGAGAGGTTGCGTCTGGTTTGAACCTGTAGCCTTGCATTCTTGGCTCGAGTGAGCTTTTCTTCGCTCGAGTGAGTTAGTTCATCCTTCGCTCGAGCTATAGTTCCTTCGCTCGAGCGTGTGTCTGGTTACAGACCTGAGGGTTTGAGTTCTTCGCTCGATCGAGCTTTCTTTCGCTCGAGCGAGCTTTTGGGTTGTTGGCTCGAGCAAGGCTTCCTTGGCTCGAGCGTAAGCAAACTGAAACCTATGTGATACTATAGTCTCTTTAAAATAAATTCGCCACTTCATCGTGGGTGTTAGAGGTATGCTAGCTTCTGTCTCCCATGATATGACGATTAGAACCCGCTAAGTCATAAGCACCTTATGCTTAGCTCCAGTGAACTGACAATGGCAGTACTCTCTCACACAAGAAGAATTATATGATTGAAGTCGGCTGACTATAATGCTCGAGAGAAAAAAAAATTGTGTTCAAAACCAAAAACGATGGTGGTCTCCTTTTATACACAATGACAAAGAGAGGAGGAATCTTCTAGTAGCAACGCAAACTTCAATTCTACAAAACTAAAGAATCAAATGCACCAAAATTGATGGAAAATAAGTGTGTAAGTTACACACTCAATATACTTATGTGTGTATATGAGTAGCGACAATAATCCGATCTAGCCCAAAAAAGATTTGGTTGATGGGCCACCACTTCGGCCTAACCCTAACCTAACCCTCAAGGCTAAGTTCCAAGCCTCAAGATCCATGGAAGACAGACTCAGACCAGGACCCAAACCCAGACCTAGACCTAGTCCCAGACCTGACCCAATCCTAGCGGGTGGGTAGCGCGTATGCATGTGACATGTTTTATATAACAAACTTGGACCATAGTCTTAGCCCAAGCTCATCCTTGAAGAATCCATAACTCCTTTCCTTCGCAAAATTTGGATGTCCAAAGGGCTCATGCCCTTACCACAAACAAGAATCTAGACCTATTTGATCTCACATCAACCGTGCTGGGGAATTTTCAAAATGAGTTTTCAAATTTTATTTTATCTTATGGGTGTTTTCAAAACCTCCCTTTTTTTTCTTTAGGAAGCTTGAAATAAACTTGGAGACTTTGTCCCACACTAGAAAGAGAGGAAAACATGGTGCACTTAATAAAGTGCTATATAGAATATTCCTTTGAATATGGAATTGTGGAATGAATACTAGTGTGCATGCATTCACACTGCAAAGATGGTGCTTTGCACCATCCGCACATGCATATGCACGTGCGTGCGATGTGGGTAGTAGGCTTGTGGTGTTTGATGGCGCATTTTGCATTTAGCACAGGCGTATTGGTGCAAGGTACCATGAGGGCATTTTTCTATTTGCATCGGACAGGTTGGAGCGAAGACGTGGATCCAACATGGCATCGATGATGTGGAATACAATCAATTATGCTTGGCAGTGGTGTGACATCCATTGGCAATGAGTCAACCAACCGATTGAACGGTTGCGTGTCAGATATAGAGCGGTTTGATCATGGCCGTTGATTAGAGATGCCTGAGATTATACAAATGAGATGACACCCGATCATAATCAGATGTGTCTTTAGGAAAATGACTAACACGACTTGAAGTACCAAATTTCTATTCTACATAGACAAGATCATTGCCAAGTTTTGAAGACTCGAAGACTACCAACTGAATAATTCAAGAGGAATTGTTCCAGCATTCTAAAGACAATATTTGGATATAGCAGTGTCTATTTAGAAAATGACTCAATATTTCATGAAGCTTAACCGATTTGATAGAGTAAATTTCTTGCGTTGGCAAAAGAAGATGCATTTTTTGCTCACCACTCTCAAAGTGGTCTATGTGGTGACTACCCCCTATCCAATGGAGCAAGAAGACAAGACGGTGGAACAAACTTGTACTAGAACCAAATGGGAGAATGAAGGCTACATTCGTCGAGGACACATTCTGAATGCTATAGCGACCCCGGTCTTTTCCCATTTGATTATTGTATCCGGACTTAGGTTCCGTAGATTCTGTCATTGTATAATTGGTGTTGTTGTCCTTTATTTTCTCTTTTGGAATTATAGGATGTGTTGGGCAGGTTTGTTTCAGGTTGGTTGGGTTTAGAAACCAAGTG